CTCTGCCAGGTGGTGAGTATTGATATATCCACGTGATTGTATGTTTATGTGAAACGTCTTTAAACATGTGTAACCTCTACATTTACATTACTGGAAATTTAACTTACTTACTTTATACAGTATTTATGTAAAATATATCTAAATAGATTATTATTATTGTTATTATTATTATTACTATTATTTGATGCACGTGCTCTTATACTTTTAGTTTTCCAAGATAACAAGCCCATTTTTAACATTTGGTTTAACCAAACAATCAATTTATGACGTTATTTAACTCCCATACGTGTCTTTGTACTGCATGATCACTTTTTCTGTACTATTCATTTAGTATAAGCACGTGGCATTAAAAATTTCAGGGGGCTACAGCTGCGTAAACAAGGCCAACAACTGTGACGCTTATGGGGATGATGCATGCAAGGGAATATATTTGGGATGGGCCAAAGAAAATTGCGCCAAGAAGTGTAACCTTTGCGGTAAATTCAGCGACCATATTTGTTGTTCACAGTCTGGAATTATGACAAATGCTGTACAGTAACTCGGATGTGCTCTAATATACCATATACTGATATGTTTATATAATACCTAGTCCGTGTTTTGCCTAAGTCTTTTAATAATTCAATATTCACAAGAAATAAAAATACGTTGTCGTCATGCATTTCGATGTAAATATATATGGAGCATTTTCATATCAGATATTTTTCTGTATTGGAGGTTATTGTTATATAAGGAAGAGAAAATAATTGGGCAAACTAGAAATATGCAAAAAAAATAGCGTCACTAAGGTGCCTTAAACATTAACTAGTTGTGGAGTAACACTTAGATCTCCTGTTTCTCTGTGCTTTCTTTTACACATTACTTTTGTTGATTTCTGTGAATATTTTACCATGTCTGACATTTAATTGATTTCAGGTTCACAAACCGATGGTTCTACTGCGGGCCCCGTTCAGAGCAGTAAGTTGTGTTCATTTGTTTTCACAACTATCAATATATTTACTTTAATAGAATCATCAAGTGATTCAGGTATCAAATACAGTATATATGAGTAAATATAATGTTTTACGTTATACTGTGTGTCTATATGAACACGAGTAGGTGTTTTCGTACAGCAGAAGAAATGGTAATTCATATTCGTTGTACGGTTAGGTACATTCGTGTACAGTCGTTTTCGTATTGCGTTATACAGACTTGACATTTAATATGGAATATTTTTTCCAAATCATTTTCCATCAGTTTTTTCCTATTTTGCTGACTGATAAATGAAAATAAAGATTAAAATCGTGTTCTAATAACTTTTAATCATCTCTTTGATGTCATTGTGACATTAGTTCATTAATTGAATTCGCCAGAGAAGCAAACAAAAACACATGGCCTATTCTATGTCAAATGACACCCATTAAAAGAGAACTTTTGGATCTCCATATTTTCCAAATTATTATCTATAAAAGAGTTAAACGCTCCACAAAGGACTCTCATGTCAATGTCTAGTCACAGTAACGGTCGCTGTTACGCCTGACGTCTTCTGGCTGCTACCAGCACTCTGAAGTGACAAGGCATTCCTTAGGATAGGTTTTTAGAGTTAAATCTGGATTAACATTCCAGGCAACGATCAAAATCTGTCCAATTTGGTCCAGTTTTGTTGTAGGACATGTAGGCCATTGGTTCGGTGAGTAATGGCCTATCCACATATTGTCTATGTGGTTCAAATATGGCGACTTTGTTGACCAAGGTAGCTGCTCATTCCCTTGGTTCTGTAAGTAATCTGCTATTAAAAGTGCTCTGTGTGAACCGGCAATCTTACCGTGCAACCTAAAATTGTTCCTAAGGTGCCCCCTATCAAATGATAGTCCAGTGGTTCCTAGATTATTCCTTTATTTGATCTGGTTCAGGTTTTTGTCGATGACTACCATTGGTGTTTTGGCACCAATGTGATATCCACTCCAAATACTGACGCTGTTAATGACCTTAGTCACTTTAGACGCGGCGAACGCTTCGTTGTTGGCCTCCTCTGAATGTCTATAAACTCTGTTTTGACTTGTTGAGCGGCACAGGTGAAATCTGACCTCAATTAAGAAAGCCACCAGGTTTCAGTGTTCAAGCCAGAAACGGTCAAGGTCCCCAATTCATTAGAGGAACATACAACGATTTTTTGTTTTTTACAGTGGGTTCCTCGGAGGTCGTCTGGTATTCTAACCTGCCAAAACCAGTTCGATGTTCGCGAAGGGCCTTGAAAAATGCATTTTGGTGGCAATTTAGCCCTCCTTCTGAACGAATTGGGTGGTTTTTGTTTAGTTGTAACAGCAAATCCCGAAAGACAGTGGGACCTGTACCCTGGTGGTAAGATTTCAATACATTGGGTGTGGCCTCTGTGTAGGTACATTAGTCTGAGCATTACTCTATAAAACTGTGCGGACCGTTTCGTTTGGCGCAATTATACGTCTCCCAATTTCTGTCTTTTTCGCGCCATTCTGCCACAGATTAATAAATTTTCAAAGCACTACATAGCTCATTTTACACACTGCAAAACCAACCACTTGCTTGCAAAATTTCAAATTCTTCTATGCAATAGTTGCTGACATAAGGATACTTTTTTGACAGAACCATGCTTTGCCAAAGCCAAGCTTTGACCTGCCCAAAGGAGCACTACCCAATTAAATCACTGCATATAACATAATGCAGCAGCGTAACAAACCTGGTATTCAGTTAATTGGTAGCGACACACCTGACTTCACACTTCTCCATTCACATATCTTATATGAGATCGGAGTTATTTAAAAAAGAACGCATTTTTACCTAGGCATACCTTCGAAACTGAAATATTCCATATTAAATGTCAAGTCTGTATGTTGTGCAGTTTCTTATGGTCGGTCTCGATAAAGTAAGTGCAGTTTGTTAAGGGTAATTCAAATGTGATGTTCGTGGATATAGACAGTTTCATATGCAGGGAATAAGGTGATCCAAATAAAGTATCTTTGATATAGGCGGGTGCGTATACAAAGGACAAACGTATAGACACGGCGGGACGTGGCAAGACGGATGTGCATACAACTGCGAATGCGTAGATGGGTCAACAGGCTTCTACAGATGCAAAGACAGGTAACAATTTAGTTTTAAGAAATATCGTATGATCGGATGAGCTGTAAGCTCTTGTTGTTGTATTTTGATACGATACAAGTTTTCGGTGCAGTACTTTGGTAATTTGCTAGTTCGAGCTTATAAATGTACTAGTAGTATAACAGCAGTGTTTATCAGGTGAGAACTGTAACATCGATTTTAACGAGAACTAACGCACTTGAACAGCTATAAACATCGCTTAAATGATTATTCAACCGCGGGAGTTTATTCCTAAAATGTTTATTTTTATTGAACTTATATAAAAAAATTTTCAGATAAAAGAAACGAGAAAAAACATTTTGTAGGCCTTTGTGTTGAACCCTCTAAATGTGTTTTTCCTTCTGTTCAATTTAGGTGTCCAACGTACGATACTACTGGTTTCCCACCTCAGTGCTCAATGCAACCCGATCCAAACGACTCGTGCTGTAAGAAGCCAGTATGCAACTTTGGAGGAAGCACCGGTACCGGAAGTGGCACCATAACCGGAACAAACACCGGTACCAACACCGGAGGTGGCACTGGGAGCTACCCAGGTGGTTCTGGCACAGGGACTGGAACAGGAAGCGGGAACTTGATTATCCCGGGAGGAAGCAGCACTGGAAATGGTGGAGGTTATCCAGTACCCGGTGGCACTAATACCGGAACTGGTGGAACCTACCCGGTTCCAGGTGGGAGTAGCACTGGCACCGGAACTGGTGGAACCTACCCGGTTCCAGGTGGAAGCAGCACTGGTACCGGTACAGGTGGCTCCTACCCTGTTCCAGGTGGAAGCAGCACTGGTACCGGTACAGGATCTGGTGGAACCTACCCAGTTCCTGGAGGACAAACTGGGTCTGGAACCGGAGTCATTACCGGCCAGAGTAAGTTTGTTTTGCTCTCTTCGATGGCTAACGCTATGGTAGGATAAAAGTGTTACATTACAAAGATAAAATATTACTGTACATGTTGCAATGACTTGCTCAGTATTCTTATATAACGTCTTCTTTCTATAAAAATTTAGCAATCAAAATTCTTAGTTCAACGGTATTTTCAAATGAGGCGCATCTTTTTCTGGGTTTGTTTATAGACTTCTATATTCTGTATCTAGACTGTAATGAAAACAATACTGGGAATTTATAATCATTAGTTTTCGTTGGTATTTGCTTTATAATTAAGCATATTTTTTAAAATTCCTCTTCAGCATCCGGCTGTCTCTATAATGGCAAGACATACAAACAGGGAGAAACGTGGAAAGATGGATGCAAGTACAGTTGCACCTGCACGAATGGGGCTACAGGCCTATACACGTGTAGTGTCATGTAAGCCAAAGTTGTTTTCATCAATGTTATACAGCATTCGACAAAATCGCACTGTCTTCTCCTATTAACATGCATGAATGATGAAAATTCGTTCTTTACTTATTTGAAGCCAAACTTAAAACATGTCTGGTAATAACTTTTCCTAGTGCACTACTTGCAACAATGTTGGACCACGTAACATTATAGATCTTAATTGGCGAAAAGTTAAAGTCAATAATTATTAATAGAGAATGAGGATTGTTTTTGTGGGAACTGTGGGGTAATATTATCTTGTGCAATTCAAGCATACTGGGAATCATAAGCCTCGTATCGGTTTGCGAAAGAACCAAATGCCTTCCCTACATACAAATTTGTACGGTAGCGGTGATGGAATCTTCTTTTTTACTAGTGGAGTTCAATAGTTTGTTTTAAATGCTAAAGAGACTAAAAACAGACAAAAATTAAACCTGTGGGTCGTGAACTCTCTTAGGTATGGTTTGACTCATAAGGTAAAAATGTTGAGATTTCAAGGAAATTATAATTTTTCTATGTAAAGGACTTATTTTGCGTATCTTTCAAAGCATAACTTATATCTTTCTCTCTCTACAGGTGCCCCCAATGGCAGTTACCAGAGGTTTGCTCCCTCCAGCCACGTCCAGGGAAATGTTGTCCTAAACCTTCGTGCCCACCTAACTATAGTATTAACTACCCACCAGGGATGTCCGAGAGCACCTTGCCATAGACACCCGTATGTCCACGTGATACCTACTTGATGCAGCTGCTTGCACTTGTAGAACAGACACAGAGAAAGATGCTTGAAAATAGTTGAGAATAGTTTTCCATGCTCATTTGCGAGGCATGTCAATCAATCGATAGCATTGCTCAAGATAGATTGCAATAAGTATACCCATAACATTGAGAATGACAAGTTATGTTTGTCGATTTGTTTGTGCTTACATTTTGCTAGTGATGATTTGAAATAAACAGATGAGAGTTAATAATACAGTTTTACAAATTTCTCAGCTACACACTCAGAAATTAAAAAGCCCTCTTCAATAGTTTAGATTTTCTACCATATGCTAATGCGATCTGGAACACCGTACACGTTAAAACAGTCTCTGGCAACCTGTATCACAACTGTTTTAAAGGACGACGTTTCCTCGTATATGTATACTTGTTGGCGGCGAAAGTACTGTTAGACAAGATATGCTTGACACATCAACTGAGTCCTATTCGGGATTTTCACGCCAAATGAAATTTTCCTCAAAAAATTTGCATTTTTTATTCTACTCATGAATCATTGCTCGACCGGGCAATGCACATGGTTTCCCTGTTTCATGCCATTTCTAATAAAGTAATGCAGTTCTGGATAACTGACCAGCAATTTAAACGGAATGAAAAATACTGAGAGTTAGATATAAATCTATGAATGACAATCATGCATGTTATATAATTTTCAAGCTTAAAGATATAATTTACATTTCAGCAAAGATGGAGGGAAAAAGGGCCAAAGATACAGACTGTCCGCAGTCTGTATCCCCCCCCCCCCCAAGTGCAAATGTTCATTCGAACTTTGAACATTAATCAAAGTGCAAATGTCAATAAAATGACATTTTCAACATACATCTATTTGATTCTGTTGTTTTGTGTATGATAACAAATTTTGACAGCAAACTAGCCTCGGCGACTCCTCTCAATTCATGCACTCATAAATAACATTGACATTGGAAAAAATCCATAAGTTGATATACCTGCGTTTGTGCTGCAAAATGTTTTTTCTAAGCATTTACTGTAAACACGTGGTGTTTGAATTCTGTGAGGGGTATCCAGCTGCGTAAACAAGGCCACAAACTGTGACGCGTATGGCAATTCGGCCTGCACACAATACGCTGCCTGGGCAAAAGAAAACTGCGCCAAGATGTGTAACCTTTGTGGTAAGTTATCCATCAAAAAAATTACCTATTACTTAAATTAATGATAGCCCACGAATTTAAGGCCGAGGAGGCGATTTTTCAATCAGCATACAAGTACAGCGAGTAAGAGTTGTAATTAATTCCCACTTTTAGAAATAAGCAGCTACATAGCAGAAGAAATTGACTAGAAGCTTGAAGCGTCGGGCTAATGAAACACATTAGCCCAATCTTGGCCTAGAAAACAATTTAGCTTTTTTAAATATATTTTAGTCATTTTTACATTTTATCTTCATTCTAATTAATTTTTATTCATAGCAGTGTTTTTTCTTCAGTCTACGAGACAGAGTGACAAATGGGCTGGATATTTAAGGCGCAGACTGCATAGTTATGACATATTTGAATGTCAGCTTCTTTGCTTGTGTCACGGGGTAACATAACATTTAAAATAATAATTTTGGAAAACCCTCTTCGGTACACTGAGTATATTCTGACCCTGTGCACTGTATTGTGCACCGGATGATAGTCTTTGGATTTAACGTGTAAAGTTATGTTTTATCTTTGAAGCGTGACAATTTGTATGGGAAATTTGGACATTGATACCTAAGCAAAAACAATGACCTGCCTCCTGCATCACATTATGCATAATACGGTAAAGATATTTCCTGTAGCTGCATGTCGTAAATGATCTGTATAACCAATCTCATGTAATCCAGCATTTAGGTTTGATGATTTCACGTATTGTCCATGCAATCAGCAGTGTTCAATAAGTAAAGTAATTCTGACCATATATGGTAAAATGCACATGGTACTGATGTATTTGCACACGGTACACAATTTATTATAATATAAAAATATCTGAAATTTATTGAAAAGTTAGTCAATTTCCGAAAAGCTGAGGAGCTAAAGCAGAGGAACAACAAGTAGTAAGAGCAGTGACTTAAAGAGTTGAAGTTAGCACATAGAAGTCTTGTAAACTGCATTCGGAAATAAAACAAAGTATATTCCACAAACTGACTCCTTTTATCAATACTTACAAAGCCAATAACCTCCGTAACAAATTGGTGAAGGACCTGATAAGACGCTCCAACCTCTCGCTGCCAAAGATAACAACAGATGTCGGTAAGCAGACCGCAAAACTACTGGACGGCACCTGCATCAAATACCCGACAGAAAAAAGGTGAACAACAGCCTGCTTCCTTATCGCAGTCTACGCAGTCGGATCCTCCTGCTACTACATCGACTCAAACAGGTACCGAACAGCACATTTCACCACCAGGAACACCATCCTCACCACCGTCCCCTTCACTAGACGACGATCAGCAATCCAATCACAGCGTAAGTTCCGAAGATTTGTCGGCACATCATATTCTATCTACTGCTTCTGAAAGTGACTCAGAAGACACCTCCACCCGCTCAACCACCCCTCCCGCTGCCCCTGCCTTCGCCATGTCAACAGAACTACACCTTTTGCCAGATAAGTTCAATGGAACCCCTCAGGAAGACCCAGACAGGTGGGTGTCACATTTTGAAAATTACACCACCTATCGCAACATGAATGAAGCCCAACAACTTGCTTCCTTCCCTCTGTTGCTGAGAAATGCAGCTCTGGATTGGTTTGACACGCTGTCAGATCAGCAGAAAGGCACCATTGACTCCTTAAAACAAGTTTTTAAGGAGCGCTTTAAACCTACGGAGAACGCCAGATTAGATGGGTTACGGTCTCAAGGTTATTTCATAAGACCCAAAAACCAGAACAGCCAGTTCAAGATTACAAAGCTGAAATGAGACGCGAGGCCACGAAAGTCCAGCTCCCCAATGAACAAACCATTCAGGCAATACTGCATGGGCTTTTACCTGAAATCAGGCCGTTTGTTGCTCAACATGCTCCGCAGACATTTGAGCACCTAGTCCAGCATGCCCGCCAAGCAGAGACCGCAGTTCAGCCCTCATCAGCCACGGTGACACTGAACGCCCTGAGTACCCAATTAGATGAAATAAAATCCACAATTACCAAGATGACAACACCACCTGAAAACCCTGCCCCTGCCCAAGCCCGAAAAGCTGAGGAGCTAAAGCAGAGGATCAACAAGTAGTAAGAGCAGTGGCTTTAAGAGTTGAAGTTAGCACATAGAAGTCTTGTAAACTGCATTCGGAAATAAAACAAAGTATATTCCACAAACTGACTCCTTTTATCAATACTTACGAAGCCAATAATCTTGCATCTAATGGCGAAAGATGGCAATAAATTTGTTGGGAAAATGGTATCATTGCCTTTAAATTTTTTATCTCTCAGTGTTTTGTGCTCTTGTTGAAAGAGCAACCCCATTTTTAAAAATTACATATGTATTTTATCCATTACTATTCATTTACACAATTGATCTCAGCGTGTTTCTATATCAGGCAGCAGTTCCTCCAGTGGCGGGTACCCAGGAAGCACTGGAAATACTGGAAGTACTGGAAACACCGGAAGTAGCGGCGGTATTGTGGTCACTGGTCAATGTAAGTCTATGGTGAATTCTTTTCCGCTCTTGTCTAATCGCCATAACAGAATTTTCCATCAGTCCGTCGATGGTTTGGCTTTGGTTATTTACTAAATCACAACGTACCGATGCACACAAAGTAACTGTGCAGTGGCGCAGAAAAACCGAACAGCGCTGTATTAGCTTACAAGCTCTAACTCTAGCAAATAACTAAAGCTTTTGTGAAAATTTCAGCATGATATGTGTAAATTTAAATTATTGTTTTTCTTTTTATCAAGAGCTTATAAAATATGTAGGTTTTACCTCCAATATTTCTGTGACTGTCAGTCACCATCATCAGGGAGTAAATGACTAGGGTCATTTCACCTGGAATGAAAATATTTTTTAAGCTCTTGATAAAAAGAAAAACAATAATTTAAATTGATACATACAGAGCTAATGAAACTCTTCTCTCATTATATGTGTAGTTGTTTTGAACTATTTTATAACAACAATAATAATAATAATAATTTATTGAGCACATGAAATGAGTGTACATTTATAGGCTCTCTACACTACTAATTATAATATACTTAAGTTTAAATACATGTACATAGTAATAATAAAGTACAATACCATCTGTCATCTCATATTGGGTAGCTTCCGTTTTCTCATAGCACTGTTTATAAATTTTACAAGTGCTGATACACCTCTCTCATTTGACACATTTAATAAGGCGGATATTGTATCGTCTGCTAGACTCTGCACATTTACCTCTGGTAAGGCAGCAAATAATGTTCTCTGTCTAGTTTATAAGCAGTACACTCAAGAAAAAAGTGAACTTCATCTTCCACTGCATTACAGTGAGGACACTTTCTGTCCTCAATTTTTGTTTTAGGGTGGGTATATCTGCCTCTTTCAATTTCTAACTCGTGGTCACTGACCCTCATTTTGGCTAGAATTTTTGTAAATGTAAAAGGGACTTTTAATTCCAAATATGGCTCAATATAGTTTAATAAATGCGTTTGCCCTTTTAGTCTTACTATGTACATACGTGTCTACATGTACGTGATGTGACCTATTCACGTTTCGACGTTTCGTTTGTGACGACGTGACATTTCGACGAACTCTCTCACGCCGGCCGGTCGGTTTATTGTGATAAATAATATATGTTATCTATCCTCACGACTTACATGTACGAAGTAGGCGACATATTATAATAAGTCCACTAAGGTGCGAAGGCTATCTGTAGCCAGTTGATAACTTTGTATACAAACATTTCAACAGAGTAAACTAATAGTTAAATATGACTGTTCGGCTAATTGAGTTTTTTTTTCTAATATTAAACTTTTGTAACGATTAAGTCTAAGTGTACATTGTACATGTAAGTGTAAGCATACATTTATGTAAAATAAGGCGAGATGACTAACATCTATATAGTATTAAGTGTTCAGCTTTCATGGACACTGTACATGGAGACCAATAATACACATGTAGATTAGGGTAGAGTGTAATAGTGTTTACACTTGTATGATTTTTATGTTATTTACATTTATTAATTTATTTCGCTACATTTATCTAGCCTCTGGTTGTATCTACAATGGCAAGACTTACAAAGAGGGAGAAAAT